CTCTAATCCCAACACTGAACAGGCTGAGCCAGGAGGAGTTGGAGTTTGACGTCAGCCCTCACAGTGATTTGGCTGGTGTACCTGACAAATAAACACTGTGTGCATTCAAGGTCTACAGTCAGAGTTTGTACGTGTGACACTGTAAACTGAGTTCCCCATCAAAGGAATTATCACATCCATCACCACTGGATGGTTACCATTGGAGTGTACCGGAGCTGGAGGGACACAAGCACTTTAAACCATGTGGCTGTAAAGCCCAGGTAGATGCTGATGGCCTCCATCCCTCTCCATTCATACTTCTCACCCTCACTTTATAAGCACCCACAGGAACAGCTACACCAACATGTCTCTTGCACACACATCACCTCAGACCTCTCCTCACAACCACGACTCCCGATCATCCTCCACAGTTCTCTTTGTCCTTCTCTTAGCCCATGCACAATGGGCTCCTTGTAGCTGGGGCCCCAGCACCTGTTTTGGACACCTGATGTTGGAGCTCTGCCTCCCTCACCTGCAGCACCTCCCCACACTCTGTCCCTGTCTTGGTTTTTCTTCAACCAAGCACTTATCACCTGCTGTGTGATTTTATTCATCTGCCTGTCTGCTCTAGCATGCAAGCTCACTAGATCCCAGTTGTGTCTCCTGGTTTGTTCATTCCTATCAGGTCAATGCCCACACACAACAGGAAACAAGGGAGGTTTTCTGAATGAAAGGACAAACGCATGGGTGATAGTAAATGCAGAGCATTCCTACCATAGAAACCAAGCATTGAAAATCCACAGTGGGTAAGCAGACCTCCAAGTCCAACCCCTAACTGTAGAGGATAGAAAGTAGCCAGAGCTTGAGTGAGGTCTGTGCCCTTGAGCACCTGGAGCCCGGGCGGCCTCAGGTCCTCGACACCCACATGTCATGTATAGTGCTGACTCTTGCCCACAGAGTCACTAGTGCCTCCCACCCAGCCCCCAGGACACCAAAGTGGACAGGTGATAGCTGTCTGCACAGGCGGTGCAGACTGGCTCCTGGTCTCCCCAACAGCCCCCACTCCCAGGCACCAGCAGAAGCAGCACACACCTTTCTGCACACACCCATGCTCACATGCTTGCACCTGGGACAGCTGCTTAAGTGGGATAAACTTTCACAGGCATGGCCTCCCACTGGCCAAAGACTTCCTTCTCCTCCTCCCAACTGACCAATGGCAAGCCTAGGCCTCCAAGGAGGTACCTGGTCTGGGCAGGAGATGGTGGCCTCATCTCCTGGTGCATTGGTTGCTGGGGACCCCTCTGATTGCCAGGGCAACTCGGCCTCAGGACCACTCTGTGGGAGTGGCTTTTGACATCCAGCTGGGACACAATTTTTAAAAACCAGCTCGTAGAACAAGGGGTTAAAAAAAGAAAACACTGCTTAGGGATTGTCACTGTAGTGCACCATTTAAAACTTCCACAGCATTATGCTTGCATTACACACAAAGGCTGTGAAGATCAGTCTCCCATGGCACCCGCTCAGGTAAGAATAAGCTTTAGCTACATTGCTGGGGGGGGGGGTTGTGAGCTAAGAGCCAGCCTCAGCCAATGAGTGTGCCATCAGAGTGGTCAATGAAGACCAAACTTTGTTTACTCTTTTAACTCTTACACATAATACTGTGGTCTGGTGGGTGGCACAGGACTCTAATCCCAGCTACTCTGGAGCCTGAGGTAGGAGGATGTCAAATTCAAGCCATCCTGGGCAACTCACTCAGAACCTGTGGTAAAATAATAATAAAAAGAAATAAATAGTAGGCTGTAAGTACCAGGGCTGTAGCACATCCTGGCACCTGTGAGGCCCTGAGTTCCATCCACAGTAGTGGAAAAGGAAATAATTCTGAGCTCTTTCCTCTGATACAAAAGAAAGAACGACCAGAAAAGTCTGGTTTAAGGCATAAAGAGCAGTACTTTTAAGAGTAAAATATCTCGGGGCCAGGGATTTAGCTCAGTGGTTCCTGTGCCTGCCTTGCAAGCACAAGGTCCCGAGTTCGATCCCTGGCACCAAAAAAATAAAAAATCAAAACAGTAAAGAGTAAAATATCTCAATGCCATAACCACAAGTAAAAGAAGCCCAGGAATGTTGGCCCAACAGGTAGGGCTACTTTCACTCAGGGACCAGTGGGTTCTGCAAGAGGCAGCTGAGAAGCTGAAATCCTGGACAGGGATTCTGGCTGGTTCGGGGTCAGTGGACCACAGCATGGGGCTTACACTTGAATTGGGACTGGGAAATCCAGAAGAGCAGCGGTTAATTTTAACCAACAGTTCACTGGCACCTTACAACTCCATGAAATTCATCTCAGTCTCTGAAATTACATTTCTATGAGTCAGAGTTCATTAGTGTTATCAGTAGCCAGCTGACAGAAGAAAGGCAAGCTCTAGATGGAGATATTCCAGGCCCCAAATTATAACTGCTTATGGATTCCATCCAGCAGTCCACAGAAATTAGCTGTGTACCTCAGAAGATAACACAGTTTTTGAGACAAAGGTCTGAAAGTCAAGTCTAGGCTGGCTGTGAACTCAATAAGTAGGCTGAATTCAAACTCCAGATCTGCCTGCCTCAGCCTCTCAAGGGTCAAGAATATGGGTATGGGCCACCACACTTGGTGAAGACAACACTGTCAAAAGTCAAGAAAAACGATTTAGGTTTTCATTACACAGTGGATTGCTATCATGCACTGAAACACTCTAAGTTCATGGGTCATGAAGGGCAGCTCCAGTCACCTCTCACTGTGAGGTCCAATGGTCAGGGTCTCAGTCTCTGCAGGGCCAGGGACACAGGGCTCTCCTGGCATAGCATGGGATCCTGCACAGCAGAAGGCCTGGCTTCACTCCACAGCCTGGGGCCTCTTGGTGTTTGCCATGTGCCATATACTTAGGGAGACCCTGTCTCAACATTTAAAAAGTAAATAAAATGGGCTAGGGTTGTACTTCAGTTCCAAGTCCCCAAGTTCGATCCCCAATAATGCAAAAACAAACTAACAAGCAAATGCAGCTGGGTGTGGTGCTACATGCCTGTAACCCTAGCTACTCAGGAAGCAAAGGCAAACAGATGGCAAGTTCCAGCCCAGCCTGTGCAACTTAGTGAGACCCTGTCTGAAGATAAGAACCAACACATGTAGCTTCAGCAAAAAGTAGTCAGCCCATGGAAATAAGAAGCTAATGGCCTGGTAAATAGGAGACTGACATGGAGGAAGACACGGGTACAATCTTTCCCTGCTCCCTGAGACCTGAGCAGAGAGAAGCAAGGTGCCTCATACCCATGCAGCTGTTGACCACCTGGTTACACAGCCAATGCACATAGGACAAGGAAGAAATCCTGGGTCCTGTCTGACTTCCCCTGCTCTCTCAGGTGCTCCAGGGACCTGAGAGATGACTCCTTGAGACATGGCTGAGCACTGCTTTTGGCAGATGCTCTGTGCCTATCCCTTCCACACTAGCCCTTGGCTCCCAGTCTGCTGCCCGACACAGACCTGCACGTTATTTTACACCATCTCCACAAAACTCCAAATTGTCTAACTGGACAGAGTCCTAGTCCAGCCCGGGCATGAATCCCCTGAGTATCCCAAGACCTTCACAAGTCAGGGGTCAGGGACTGCCTTTGGGCTCATGGTCAGTACACACTGCCAAGGCCTTCTGAACAAAGCCTAGCTGGGTCCAGTCAAGAAGTCAGGCCCTCACATAAGGAAGGGCGCTTCTCTCATTTTAGGAAAGAAATGACATCTCACACCCTGTCCTACTGTGGTGCACCCCTCCCCTGAGGTACAAGGACCCCTAGGGCCCCACATGAATGCAAGCTTGAAATACCAGTGCTGTGCCACAAAAGGGAACAAACTTGTATGCCAATTGGTGCTTTCCAAATCTTCCTTCCAAAAAACCTGAAGAGGTACCTCCTCAAGTTACCACTTAACAGTAGATCTTTAACATATATTTTGTGGAGCTGGGGGTACAGCTCAGAGGTACAGTACATGCTTAGCATCCACAAAACCCTGGGTTTAGCCTGCAACACGTACATGCACACACACACATATTTTTTGAACTATGTGCCAAAAATCGTAATGGTCTCAGAATTCAAAGCATGACGCAACATTGCTAGGATAAAACTTCTATTCCCATTTGCTCCTTTATGTGAACAAGATTACTGAGCACTTAAATCCAGAAATGAGAAACAGGAAGAGAACCAGCACGAAGCCTGGTCTCACTTCAACACTCCGTCCATCACTTGCACTTGAACTAATGGCACAGACACGAAGAGTCCTGCCAAGCGTGGTGAGATGCACGGCTAGCTGGATCTTCTTTACCTTTACTAATTTGCCAAAATTGATAATATACTGTTTTGATCACTGAACTGTACTACTTAAAATGAGGGCTCACTACACAAGTAAAATTTCAACACTCAACTTGGTGCATTCAAGCTTAAATGTATGCGTGGATTACTGTGGAAGATCAATAATACAGGATAGAGAACAGAAATATACAACCTCAGCCAGAGAGTGCTCAGGTACCATCTTGGTGAGTATGAAAATCATGTTTATGATCCACTGCATACAGTTCTAAGAGTGATGTCACTATCGATTTTCAAACGCTCGGCATGTGAAGGAACACCTTTAGATCTGAGCCTTTAGACAGGTCTCCTGCTGCTCCTGAGCCTCGTGGTGAGGGACAGTTTCCTCTTCTGCATGTAATGCCCGTCTTGTGTCACCACAGCCCAGGCCCACTCCAGGCCCTCACATCCCAGGCATCCTGCCATCCTAGGCCCCTGACATTTCAGGCGCCACTGTGGGCCAATCTAGCACCTTACACTCCCATGTAAAACAGGGCCTTTATTCAGCAGCCTGCAGATGTGGTGGCTGATGAGGTAATAACAGTGCTCCAACCCAATGCTAACCCAGACTCCTGTGTTTTGTGACAGCTTCTGGGGACACTGAGCAGCCCCACAGGTAGCTGTGCCACCCTCTCCCATAGAAGCACCAGTGAGCCTTACCTCCAGGCTGGCTTCTTCCTCGTCTGGTGGGGCATCAGGTGCCCACAGTATTTCTTCTGCAGACACCTTCTTCAGTTGTTTGCTCTTTTTTCTTTGTCACTTCAGGAACTTTTCTCTTTCGTTTCGGCATTCTGCGATGGAGAAAACACACTGCTAAATGCATACAAAATAACAGGTCTTAGGCGACGACAGTGTTTTTAACAAAGACAGAGGGTGCTCTTTCACCCTAAGAGAAATACAAAGGTATTTCATAAAGTGTGGAAAAGATATTGAAGTCAAATTTCTAGTTCATCACCATTTTAACAATGTGGTGATTCCCTTTTTGTTTTCTGAGTGCTCTTATTTAACACAGCTGTAATGAATACATGGATTATATACCCTGTATTTCTAACTCAACACAAACACAAAATTCTCAAGATGAAGACATTTTTAGTGATGGTATTATAATTCTCCAGAGGTAAAAATTGGCGTATTCCTTAATCCCTATTGCCTACTAAGTATTTGGGGTTCCTTTCATTTTCTATGATTCTAGACCCGTATTCCTACACAGGCTGAGATGAGTCACGTGCCCTCCCAGAAGCATCTGGCCATGCCTGGGCTGAGGACCTGGGGAGCCTGGGATGTCTCCTCCAGGCCTGGGCAGCACCAGCCAGGCCATTCGTGAGGACGAACGTCAGACAAGCAATGTGAGGCACAAGATGCATTGCATCGTGTCTATTTTCTCAAGCACAGTAGTATACAGGGCTCCACAGACAAAAACAGAACAGAAGTCCCTGAACTATAAAGCCAATTTCCATTGCAGGACTGCATGACAAGGAGCCTGGAGGCATGTGGGGGTGGGGTGGACAGCCCTGGACCTGAGGGAGGGATGCTGGCTGCTGCTATTGTTGGGACCTCTGGGGGGACCAGGCTGCTTCTAGGACAAGGAATGGAAACTGGCAGCCCAAAACACCTGCCCTTTGGGAGCTCACATTTTTATGGTGGCAGTGGGATATGCACACATGCCAGAAAGATGAGAATGGCCACGTAAAATAAATAAATAAGGACTGCGTATGAGGGCACAGGCCTGCAATTCCAGCTGCTATGGAAGCTGAGGCATGAGGATCAGGAATTTGATGCCAGCCTGGGCAACTTAATGAGACTTTGTCTGAACATAAACTAAAAAAGGGCTGGGTGTGTAGCTCAGAGGTAGAGCCCCAAGGTTCAATTCCCGGTACCCAACAACAAACCAAACAAACCAAAACACCATAAGGCAGGAGAGAGTTGTGGGAAGGTGACCACCCTAAAAGGATGATCAAGCTGGGGATGTAGCTCAGTGGTAAAGTGCTTGCCTAGCATGCACCAAGCCCTAGGTTTCATTCCTAGGGCTGCAAAAAAGAAAACACAAGGGTCGGGGATTTAGTCAGTGGTTCCGGCGCTTGCCTTGCAAGTGCAAGGTCCTGAGTTCAATCCCCCGCCCAGTACCCAAAAGAAAAGGAAAAACAAGATGATGATCATATGGAAGGGGTAATGACATCCCTAGAGACCAGATTTGGGTGCCTTAATACTTTCTTCTTGAGACTCCTGACAGAATTCCACACAGAGGTGGTACTTATATCATATGGCAACTCCAGTATCTCTCTACCCTACTCAAACCTAAACTCAAGCTACATAGCACAATAAAGAGAACTTAAACTAGAAGATACCTACCAACAAATGAAACATGTCAATATCTAGTATGAATGGAACATCATCATGGCTGTCATTAGCACCAATGTTAAAGATTTAAAGAAAAATACATTAGCACAACTTATGTGTCAAAGTAAAGTTATCTGAAACTTTTTTTCTTTTAGTACCAGGGATTGAACTCAGGTCCTTGCACTTGTGAGTCAGGTCGCGGAACCACTGAGCTAAATCCCCAGCCCTTTGGTAAAGTTAAAATGCCTAAAACAGTTTATCTTTTTGCAAGCTATATATGAATTTATGAGCTAGAGCTTCTGTAACAGTACCACCAAATATTTCATTCTTCACTAAGAGAAATTATAGTGCTAAAAATTATTTCAGATGAGAAATTACCATTACATACATGGTACACATATTAATGCTCACACGCAAAAAGTTTACAAAAATGTCTTTGTACCACTGGAAGTGATGCCACCGTCCAATGTGCTGCTGCAAATCTTGTCAGTGACCTAAGACAGTCATCCGGAAACAAAAATTATCAAAGAATCCAATAAAGCAGTAGGTCTCTTCTCTCAGGACTGGTGCTTCTAAGGACAATGGCTGTGCAAACAATTGCATCTCTCTAGGGGACAGACTGGCGCCCAGGGCATCTCTCATGACATCTCCAACAAAAGAGTTAGGTGGGAACAGCAGCTATTTCCTTGGTACCATGCTGCTGGCTTTTCTCTGGAAAGAACTAAACACTGTACAGGTATCAGCAACCAGCCAGCAACACATGCCAAAAGACAGTGATGTGGCATTTCTTTGTATTTATTCTAGAGATACTCCAAAATGTGGGAACTGTAACAAATATTGGGGAAAGTATGTAAAAAAGGAAAGATCCAGAAATCAGGGTGTATGTAGCCATTAGAAATTATCAGGAAGAGTAAGTAGCATTAAGGAGAAAGCTTGATTTAAAGTGACGAATCCAGCAAGAAACAATTATAGATGAAAATTAAGATTGAGTATATGTTAACAAAAGATGGACAAGGGGGTGAAGGGCGCACAGGTAATGGGGAAAAAAATAAGAACCAAGATACATCATGTACAGGTACAAACACCCAATGATAAATGTAAATGAACTGTATACCTAAAATGTACCAATAAAATTAATTTTTTAAAAAGATGGACAAGTGAAGAGCTGAGGAGATTTTTGTTCTTCTTTATTCTCTGTCTTTTGCACTTTTGGTAATGCTCTGATTAAATAAATACTATAGATCTAGGTCTTGGTTTTGAAGCTCTTCAAATGAAAACTCATTCTCCCACCTCCTGCTCCCAGGCAGCTTAAAATCCTGGGAGCTGGGGCAGGAGGAGGAAGAGGGGTAGAGGCATCTTTGGGAAGGTAGAGCTTGAAGAGCATCCTAAGGAGCAGGAGGCACTCTGGGCCGAGGAATGAGAATATGCAAAGTTCTTGGAACTAGCACTTAGGATCCTGTGACTGTATGTGACTGGACCATGGGTGTGGGGATTGGCAGAAGCCGATAATGGAGAAACAGGTGAAGATGTTTATAAAAGCATGAATATGCCTGGGCTGTGGATTTAGCTGAGTGGTTTCCTCACCTGCTGCGCAAGTGCAAGGACCCAAGTTCAATCTCCGGTACCAAAAAAAAAACAAAAAAAACCCAAAAAGCATGAATATGACCAAGGTTGCTTTTTGGAGGAACCCTTCTGATAACATATAAGGAAGGGTGTGATTCAGGGTAGAGACTGCCTACTACAATCTAGGTAAGAAATGATATGGAGCCAGGTGTGGTGGTGCATGCTTGTAACCCCAGCACTCTGGGAGGCTGAGGCAGGAAGATCACAGGTTCAAACCCAGCCTGGGAAATTCAGTGAGGTCCTGTATCAAAATAAAAAGTAAGAAAAGGGCTGGGGATGTAGGTTAGTGAAAAGGTCCTGGGTTCAATTCCAAATCTCTCTTTTCTGTGTACATGCACGGAAAAAGCCAAACAAGCAGAAGGAATGGCAAGAAGTTCAGAGACTGCTGATCAATTGATGCAAGGATGCAAATAGATGCCTAGGCCAAATAACACACCCAATAGTGCTTCAATTTTCTGGTTTGGTCACCTGGATGGACAGTAGTGACTTTAAGTCACAGAATATAGGAAGAAAAGCTGATTTGGGCTGTTAGACTTGAGGGCACCTTTAGGACAGCTTGATGGAAAAAACCCCAAGTGGTCAGTAAGAGAGACCCGACTGAAGATGAAGTGCAGGATGGATATACACAGCTGGAATCCCTTGGCTCTACCTGAAACCAGAGACCCAGATCGGGCTGAACAGGGAGGGGCACCGGACAGATTGGGGAGGGTAGAGGAGGGGGAGACAGGCAGAAGCCTGGGTTTAAATGCTGTAACAATTACTGGAGGAAGAGCACACTGAAAAGGAGCAGGCAGAGAAGGAGGAAGAAAGCCAGGAGCGCCACAGAAATCAAGAGAGCAGATGGGCTTCAGAAGAAAGCAAATGCATGTTGAGCGAGCCTGGACAGTGGGTCAGTAAGACCTGGTCAGACACTGGCCACGCAGTGAGAAGCAGCAAGCCTGGTCAGACACCCCTTCCCCATCTTCCTGGCACGCAGTGCGCCCAGCCTGACCCATACTTGCACCTATTCACATGTTCTTATCAAGGGTGATCAAACGTGCAGGTTCTGTTTTGTACTTCTCATGACAGCATTAGAAATTCAAGAATAAGCTCCCTTGTTTTTAGATTTTTCCCCATATTTTCAAGTGCTTCATCAATAGCTCTGGATAAAGAGGCATAGTTACTTCCAAAAATCTACTTCAAAGAAAAATTAAGAAAAGACAAATCATAAATATTATTTATTCTATATCCTAATAAAAATTAATTTTCCTCTGAAGAGAGTGAACACAAGGTTAAAAAATCAATTTCAGACCCGGGTGTGGTAGTGCACATTTGCAATCCCGGCACTCAGGAGGCTGAGGCAGGAGGATTGCCTCGAGTTTGAGGCCAGCCTGAATTACAGAGTGAGACCTCAAAAAAAAAATTTTTTTTTCAGCTTTGAAAGTTTGATTTCCACTTTAGCTTTTCATGAACTGAGTAAGCAGAGAACTTACTAGCCTACAAGGCAAAGGACCAAACAATGGTTTATCTTCTTCACTCAGAATTCTTTCTGCAGATTAGAAATGAAGAGGGTAACATTTAGGTACATGTCATCAGAATTTAAAAAAAAACTACAACAACCAATTCTTTCTGCAGAACTAGTTTTAGAATTTTTGAATCATTTCCTAAGAATTGACTTTGGATGGAAAGTCAAAATAAATGCAAATTCCCTCAACTGTCAGGAGACTATAGCCACAAGGAAAATGGGTTCTCTGTTGCTGCAGCCAGTTTATAAAGTGTTAAGGTAGTATCCTGTCAATGAACTACATTTCTTGATTTTAAGGCTTTTTATTTCTTCATATTGTTGTGCACTTTAAGGATCTCACTTAAAAGCAGGATTCTACACACAATTCACATCAATGTATGCTGGTGACTTAAAGAGAAATAGCTGTAAACCTCTTACCCATGCTCTGGATGGTGTACGCACAGCTGCTCCAACACATTATGGGCACACGGGGATCCTCTTCATTGGGGTGAACTTTTAGTCCCACCTTGTAGGAAGCAGTTCCAAATGTTGTCAGAATTTCCTTAATGCTCTCAGAATAAGGGTTCCTAACAGGAACACATACAGGATTAGCTCAAAGCAGTATGTACACATCAGTAAAATGGTGCAGGTTCTGAACAGCACTTTGCTCTTCTGGTGACAGCTGTAAGCAAAGGGGTAATCACACAGTGACTGCCCTGGCCTAAAAGGGGTTTTGCTCTTGGGTCAGAGGGGTGAAGCACAGGGGTGAAACCAGGGTAACAGGCAATGTACGCAGAGTTAACAGTGGGGTCCTCGGCCTTCTCCTGCCGGGGCCAATGCACACCCACTGGCACCGAGACTGGTCTTTCCAATGAGCGATCCTCAGCAGAAAGTCCTCTACACATCGACACCTTAGAGTCCCCAAGAGAAGGACAAGTGGCAGCTTGATCACCTTCCTGTGCAGCTCCCAAGTGAGTAAGTTAACCTTGCCCACCAGGCACCAAACAGCCCAGTGCCTTCTTAGTCACCCAAGCACCAACAGACATGTAAGGAGAGCATCCAAGGTAACAGACCAGAACAGGAGGGAAAAGAACTCAGGGGAATTGGAGACAACCTGTAAGAAAACGAGAGGACCGGTCTAAGGCTAATGGAAGATACCAGCAGGACTAACCCAAAGAAAACTCAAGAGCAGAAAATGACTGAAGAAAGCACATTAAAAAAAAAAAAAAACTCAGAAGGGCCAGGAATGTAGCTCAGTGGTGCCACTGCCTGCCTCACAAGCACAAGGTCCCGAGTTCGATCCATGGTACAAACCCCCCCTCCAAACAAAAAACAAAAAAACACTCAGAACCGAGGGACACAAATTCTCAGGTTCAAAGAGTTTAATGAGAACTCAGCCAAATGAATGAAAACACTTCATGTCCCAAGGAACACCACAGAGAAATAGAAGTAATAAAGCTACAAGGAACAGGAATGAGAACGGCATAATTTCTCAATGGATGTCAGAAGTGAATAAAAATCTAGACAAAAAATTCCTTGTAACCCAGAGGCCTTAACCCGAATTATCAATCACAATAAACTTTACTTCAGATGTGAAGACTGAGCATCCAGCTGTCCTTTCTCAGGGATGTGCAAAGGGTGGAGCTGTGCAAAGAGGGTAAGTTAAGAAAGCAGAGAGACTGTGATCTAGAAAGCTAGAGGGGCCTGGCAAGCAGAGTCTACAGGGGACAGCTGTGGCCTCTCCTGACTGGCGCAGGGACAAGGCTGTGCAGGAGGCAGAGCTCCAGGATGGAGGCTCATCTGATAGGGCTGAGTGCCTGGAAAGGCAACTGCTCAGCACCTGACAGATCTGCTGCACCATTCATGAAAAAACCACCAGGAATATATGCACAGAAAACCAAATACAAGCCCGGGGCGGTGGCACATGCCTGTAATCCCAGCACTTGGGAGGCTGAGGCAGGAGGATCACTGTGAGTTTGAGGCCAGCCTGGGCTATATAGCAAAACTCTGTCTCAAAAAACAACAACAAAAAAATAAAACAAGAAAAACAAAACAGAACAGAACAAATAAAAACAGAGACAGAATAAAATAATATACTCACTGAGGATGAAAATCAGGCCTGAAACCTTCAAGGAGCTGTACTTCTTCCACGTTCTTTGAATTCTCTGAAGAGGCAGGAACTACAGAAACAGGCACTTTATTCCATTACTCAACAAATTACAATATTCCTATACATTTCAGTTATGTGAGTAAAATAATTAAGAAACAGGAAAAAATTCTCATATAAAGCACAAAAATCACTATTGCTCTTTTGACCAAGCATTTTCTAGCACATGTGATGCCAAAGCGAGCATGACCAGAGCATTTTCTCTCCTTTCCTTATAAACAGCCACTAGGACACAAAGAAGACACGGCTGTTTTGTTTCTGTGAAAACTAATGACACAAATCTGCTCAAACTGCTCTCCCTCGAGGTCCCAAGTGCAGTGCGATCTATGAAACTTGGGGAGCTCTGGGTGCTGTGAGCCAGCAGAGACTAGAGCCAGCCTTCAGTACCCAATCACCAGGCCCCCTCCCACCCCTAGGCTCCTCCATAAAGTGGGGGCCTGAGTGAGAGGTCATCCCGCCCAACTCCACAGGGCCTATATGCTTACCAGGGATGAAGAGCAATGGAATAAAGTCAAATTCCATGTATTAAAACAAGGAAAATCAGAATGTACCAACTTTTTACTTATTTACTTTTTCCCATTATTTATCTTTTATTTGGCTCTTTAAATTATATTTGTGTTGTTCATATAAATGACATACTAATTTTTTAAATGAAAGCTTTCACTTTTAAATACTTTTAAACAATTTCTTGGAAACAATTTCTGGAAATATTTTAGGGAACAAAGAAGGCAGGTTACCAGAACTTACTGGAAGCATTTTCTTCTTTCCTAAGACTCTGCAATGCTTTTATCTGCTGAGATATTGTTCTAATCCACTGGGTCAGATTTGGTTGGTCTGAAAAATTTAACCTGCTAGAAAAGATCATGGAGAACATTTAATACTCTTGTTGTTGCTTCGTTTAAGACACAAAAGATTTGTTTAAGTATCACAGATGCAATACTTTAGACACACTTCAAGGACTTAAAACAAAAAAGACCAGGAAAACTTTGTTACATTTTTTTAAAAAGTCAGACTAGATATTGGTCAATGGAACTGAAAATATATTGTTAAAATGATGTTAATAACATTGTTAAAAATTTCAGGGCCGGAGATGTAGCTCAGTGGTGCCATGCCTGCCCGGTGAGCACAAAGTCCTGAGTTTGATCCCCAGTAACACAAAAAAGAAATTCACTTTTTCTTCTCGAATTTGCTAAAATTCCTTTAACATAACAATCAGCACCATTATTCATGTTTATGAAGTGCTTTTCATGTGACAAGCTCTTAGATGAGCACTTTACTGTAACCACATTACAATATTAGGTTTAATCTTCAAAGTATTTCTAGAGATAGGTTGTCTTTACCATTTGCATTTTACAGATGAGAAAAATAAAGCAGGTGGAGAGCTATGAACCTTGAGTAACACCACAAGGGGCAGGGCTCTGTCAGGGCAAACTCCACTTCATCAGGCTCTATAAAGATTGTGTTCTTTTTATAACTGCCTTCAAGTATGACTCTCATGGGAAAAACACCCCAAAATGGAACCACAGAAGTGACAGGTAAAATTCAACAAAGGTGATTTCTTTTTTTTTTCTTTATTAACTTTATTTATTGATACATTTTAGGTATACAATATAGTTACATTCATCATTGGGATCTTGTACCTTTACATGATGTATCTTGGTTCTTATTTTTTCCCTGTTCAACAAAGGTGATTTCTTAATATGCAGTTAATCCTTAACTTAACAATGAGTGATTTCTTATCTGTTCAAATGCAGGTGGAGGTCAGCACCATGATATCCTTTTATGGTTTTTAAAAGCATGTTACCAGTGAAACCCATTAATATTTCAATATTACTGTGTGATAGCAAAAGAGACTAAGACATCAAAGTTTGAACTCCTAAAATTAAAGAGAAATATGTGACTTTGCTTTGAATTAAATCCAAGTAATTGGATATAGATGATTTATATTTATAAAAATTAAATTGATATAATTTGAATATCCTGTATAGAAATGCCTGAGATCAGAAAGGAGTGTTTTGGATTTCGGAGATTTTCTGATTTTGGAATATTTGCACAGGCTTTATCAGCTGAGCATCCCATCTGAAAACCTGAAATCCAAATGTAATATGATCTGAAATGTTTTGGCGTTATGTAGGTGCATCTGGGATTTCAGGTTAGAGATGTTCAATGTGTACGTGTGCAGGTAAGGTGGGCACGATTCTAAACCTCAAAGTGAAGTGCAGATTTCAAGAGGAGACAGCATCATATTCATACACGAAATGATTATATCTAATACTACTATTGACTAAAAATATCCTAAATTATGAACAGAAATTTTATTATTTTAAAATTATTATTGTTGTTTTTGACTTTTTGAGACACAGTTTCACTATATAGTTCAGGCTGGCCTTGAACTCATTTTGTAGCTCAAGCTGGCCTCAAATTCAAAGCTAGCCCCTTGCCTGAGCCTCCCAAGTGCTGGGATTACAGGCATGCACCACCACATCTGGGCTAGGAATTTTTTTTTTTTGGTACTGGGGATCGAACTCGGGCCCTTGTGCTTTCGAAGCAGGTGGTGGAACCACTGAGCTAAATCCCTGGCCCCAGCCTAGGAATTTTAAATAGACCAATAGATCCCCCCCCCGCCACCCCGACTCCTAAAGCTGCTGTTGGCCAATGAATGGCATAAAACTCTGCTCAACTGTTAGGCTGCTCCATGTCAACTTCTCAGTTTTGTCAGCATCTTTACAAAGCATGAGGGAGATATTTAAAGTAGGGTCCCTAAAAACGAACACAGTTTTTGTGAATACGGAGGAATTTTATGTTCTATAGCATTTATGGGTGAATAAGAAACTATTAAAATTGGCCTATTCCTCTATAGAAACCAAAATCATATTGCATGGGGCTGTTAGAAGAAATGACCAAATGAAGAAGACTGGATAGCACCTGGGAAAAATGCAACTGCACAGGCTGAGTTTCCCTCCTGGTTTATTATTTCATCATTTCAGAGCAAATGTGCTTTGTTACAAGGTATTCTGAGCCCAAATTTACCTGCTAAAAATATTTCTTGGAGGAAGCAGCAGAGGAATAACAGTATTGCTCAAGCATTCACACAGCAGGCAGAGGAACTCTCCATTCTCTACATCATAGCTCGTATGTAAGCATAATCTTTGTTGCCTTCTCTGCTCTTTAGTTTGAATAGAATCAAAATACCTTTACAATTAGAGAACACATGGTATCAAAAACAATGGTAATGTATTTGAATGAAAGTCAGAGGCTTCAGCATTGTAAATCATCTGTTTCCACAAATACTACAAAACTGAACTGCATTATTTTTAACACTTAGCATTATGACTTTTGAGTTGTTTTAATAACCAAAGAGGAAATAAAACTGACTTGCAAATAAGCATGTGGAAATCAGTAACAGAAATTTCTTCATGCTATTATTGTCTGGCCACTTCCCCAGAGCTGCGCCTACTCGCCTGGGGCAGCTCCTGACAGCTCAGTGAACACAGTGCTAGAGTAACAGTACTGGCGGGTTGGCTTTGCACAGGCATAGAAAGCACTGAGGTAGAACAACTTCAAGATTATCCCATCTTGGCACACAGAGTCATTACAATTTTTGGAAGAACAAACAGGGACTAATCGAGAGCTGTTCACCTTGGGCCTAAAGGAAGGCAACATTACTTTTCAAGGATTTATTGCAATGTAAAAAACCTTTTTCCTCTTCCAGTTTGTTACTTAATGTAGATTCACTTCCTTGTTTGGAGGGATAAAGAAGAGACTATGTTATAATGCTACATTTAAACAAAAATCTGATATACTCCAATGTTTCTAATATTTTTTTTACATCATGACAAAGCAAATCACTTTTGTTATTAGGCAACAATATGAAGGTTTTTTGTCTATGTTTTTAGTTCTTTTTCCTTTATCTAGAATGGAATTTCATTAAAATTCTTATTCTGAATCTTTGATGAGCTTCGCTTGGCTAATATTAAGAATATAAATTACCTTTGCCAACAATGGGCATGCATAAGGTGCCCATAGCTACCAGTGTGTGTCCCGAAAGGCAGATCAGGGTGCATGAACAATGGATCCTATTTTTCTGCATTACAAAACAAAAAACAAAACAAACAAAAAAGCATTTAATTTTCGCATAATAAATGTACAACTTTAAATTTGTGAAATCTTTGAAAAGGACTTGTAAACTTAAAATGAAATTCTAGTTTATTCCTTTCATTTAAGATATCAATAATTCGTGGAAGACCCTGGATTATTTAAAAGCAAAATGACAAGGAAATATCTAAGCCCATGCCAGGGGAAAAAATAATTCAGAGTTTTGTGTTCTGCTACTAATGTTTATACATTAGAGATGAAAAATGAAGACAAGATAGATGCATGTATTCTTTTGGAGTTTTTCAAATTCTCTATATAAATCAGTATAAATGGAGAGTTGCCAGCACTCTAGAAAGAATGGCTCAAGTTTCAATTTGCTTTATATATTTGGACAATGCAAATGTTACATAATAAAATATTTTTATGATAGAAAATGTGAAAGCTTTCTCTTTAGGAAGTCATAAATCACAGAGTTAGGAAATTGTATCTTTGACTTGAATTTATAAATCCCGTAGTTCAAAGAACCTTTTTCTATTTGTGTTTTGAGATCGAGTCTCGCTATGTACTTCAGGCTGGCCTTGAACTGGCAGCATTCTCCTGCCTAAGCCTCCTGAGTGGTGGGATTATAGGTAAGCACCCTGCTCCAAAGAACCATTTTTGAACATGAAGCAGACCAGTCTTTCATAGCTAGTATGCTCCAGAGTCCCACTGGGATGACCTTCCTCACAGAGTGAAGGTGACCCTGCGGGATTGCTCTCTCCATCCTGCACCATGAGAGGCTCTGGCTAAGGAAGTGCTCTGGAAGCTCTAAGATACAGTTCCTACTTGAAGAAGCTTATTGGTATCATCCAGAGGGATATGCGTGTTTTCAGCAGACAGAAGGCAAGCTGAAGAGTAAAGGTGCAGTCTAAACCCCTAGGTGGGAAGAAGCTACTAAACTCTCCCAGATGCTGGAAAGGCCCAACTCTTATCTTTCTTGGAGGGAAAACTGTTGCACTCAGGTCAGACCTCGTTCCAGGGTGACCTGTAGCCAGTCACTTCTCAGTGTTGGGCACCCAGTGCAAGGATCCCCCTGGGCTACAGGAGGCCTTTGGGAACTGCACTACAGCTCAAACCTACTTCCTTTCCCTAGATGTTCACCCCCAAGCTCCCCCTAAGAATGTCCTGCACAGCGATCTTGGAGTCAAGGCTGCATTCTGGGACCTATCAGTGATGGTGCTACTATCCTATGTCAGAACCTGGCTCCAGACTCATTTTCAATAGGTCACTCCAACACTGCTCCTGAGCCACATGGCTCCACCCACGAGACCACATAATTACTGTTACTCAGTGTCAGTAAATATTGAGGACTTCACAAGTATGCTGGAAGACAGGAAAGACTAGTAGGTACCAAAGTATGTGAATGTCACATGACAAAGCAAAGTTTTTCTTTGAATTGCTACTATGAATACATAGCTGTGTGGGCATCATGTGGGTGATTCCTGTAAAAGTCACTCCCATGGATGAGCCTATGGAGTTGTTATTAGATGAACGAAATCTCATTAACACCAATCACACTAGCTGGCAGTCATGAGGAGGAGGAGGAGCACCCAGCTATGACTTACCTGGATCCTGGATGAATTCACTTGTTTTTTGATAGTACAGTTGATCTCTGGACAAATGCTGCCAAGACCATGCCTTTACTTTCCACTTTAACTTCTTGCTCCCGTTGACATAATATACAGGTGACAAACTGTCTGTGTTCAGGGACCTGCGTTTGTGCTGGGCCCAGGGCTGGAAAGGTCGTACCTGAAACCACAGGGCTATGACAGAAAGGTCAGGAATGAATGAATGGGGCTAGGAAGTTTAGGCACAAGTATCAAACCTTAGACTCCAGAATGTACGTATTTAAAACATGGTTTTAATGGCTTGAATCACAAAAATCTTTCATGTGCATTAATGACCGCTCTTCAACTCTTCCCAGCAATCTACTATGTACCATGGATGCCAGAGTTGAGCCTTAACTCTTTGTGACTATCAAATCTGGTGTCAAAAATAACATTTCAGGTGTGTACATATGAATTAACTAGCTTACCTGCAGTCAAAACTTTCTAAGTGTAGCTCCTCTACCAGGAGGCCACAAAATTTATCATTTCTACTAATTTACTTTAGGATTAACAATGTACTTAAAAGGAAAAAAAAATTATGCCTAGGTGACAACCACTGATCAAGAGATTAAAATTGATGGCTATTTTCCTTACCGGCTGTCAAGAACAGCTGAGGAAGGGCCATCCAGCTCTAGTGTCTGCTGAAAGAGCTCTTTGTTCTCATCGATAAAGTGCCGCTGCATCTCAGACATCTGGGCCATGATCTTTTCCCTTCATAGCCTGGAAATTTCAGCTTTTCTCTTCCTCTCAGCTTTGTCTTTGTCTCTTCAACTCTGAAATTAATACTCATTCAATCAGACCATTAGAAGCTAAATGCACATTTTTCTCCAAAGCAAAAACATCTTCATTATAAACACCAATTAAAACTATTCTACAATCTTACTTGAACAGAAGAAAAGATTCCTTTTGTTTGTTTTTTGAGACAGGGTCTTGCTAATGTAGTTCAGGTTGGCCTTAAATTCACTATGTAGCCCAGGCTGGCCTCAAACTCATGGCAATCCTCTTGCCTTAGCCTCCTAAGTGCTGGGATTACAGGTGTGTGCCACCATGCCCAGCAAGCAGAAAAAAAGATTATCAACCTAATGTGCTTTTAAAAAAAGAGCAAACCATGGGCCAGGCATTTAGCTCAGTGGTACCGCCGCCTGCCTCGAAAGTGTAAGGTCCTGAGTTCGATCCCCAGTACCAAAAAAAAAAAAAAGAGCACACCAAACCAAACCAACCAGCCAACCAACCACACAAAAACAACAACAAAGGCCCCGGATTTAGGATTTAGCTCAGTGGTTTCGCCGCCTGCTGAGCAAGCACAAGGACCAGAGTTCGATCCCTGGTACCACCCCCCGCCAAAAAAAGTAACAACAACAAAAAAGAACCAAAACAAAAACAAAAACTTGCCACAACAAATAAATAGCGGGACATTTCTTGGAATTTAAATGTTTGTAAATATCAACTTGCTATAGTTTTTCAGTATTAGCATACTTTACTTTTTCTTCTTATTTTTATTTTTGCAAAGCTTGGGATTGAATCCAGGGCCTTGAGCATGTTAGGCAAGTACTCTACCTATGAGTTACAACCCTGGCCCCACACTTTACTTTTCTTCTTTTTGCTGTACTGGGGTTTGAACCCAGGATTTTGCACTGAGCTACACGCCCAGCCTTTTAAATTTTTTAAAATTTTGGGACAGGTTCTCACTAAGTTGCTACACTGCTTAGGCTGGGTTTGAACTTGAGATTCTTCTGCCTCAGCCTCCCGAAGTGCTAGGATTACTCAGTGCACATTTCTTATACCTCTTCCATGGTGGTTCCTTCTGTTTCTGCCACAGGACTGGTAGATGAACTCTCTCTTATGGTCTTAATAGCATCAAAAGTCTACCAGAAAAAAAATACCAGTTATCCTCACATTATGAAACACTGCAATGTGCACAGAACAAGTACCTAATGTTTGCCACAAAAAGCAGAGCAATGTATGAACTGCTACCTTTAATATCCACCGAATCATGTCTTTGTGGACCTCTAGGTAGGGAGCATTCTGTAGCATCTCCAACATGGCTAGAATGCTCCGAGAGCTGTTCAGTGCTTCCCCAGGCTCTACGGGAGAAAGAGTGAGAGGCACAATAATAAAGTGAGCAGGGCACAGGGCTTAGTCCTAGCCACCAGTTTCTCATAATACCAGTGCTCATCATTTAAGTATAGCTCTGCTGGGGAGAAAGTTTCAATACTCCTTGAAAAGATGATGTGTTCGAACTTTACAAATGTTTTAAACAACTAGAATTCTTTAAGCATTAAAAACTGACTTCTTACACCTAATGATTATTTTAACATAGCCTCCAGCAATATTAAATACCTAGAAAAAAATCCAAAACTGGTCTACGTGAGATTTTACAAGTCTAAGAAAACCAACTAGGATTATGGAGATGCAAATATGCATAAATCTGTTTACTTGGGAACTTTTCTTTAATAAAAGCTAGATTCAAAAGAAGATAAATTTCTTCCTTTTATAAATTCACTGCTTCTCTATTTGAAGAAAAAATATAAAAGTCAAGTCCATATTGTCAAGAGTACATTTATTCCAATACTAGCTAACTGAGTTTGTGGCCAGAAATATCCAGTTGTTGATTTTCTTGAGTTAAGTGCTGCTATTCTAGCAAATGTGCTTCTTTCTAAAAAGGGAAAAGACTGAAAGTGTCATCTTTAATAGTCTTCCTGATCTACAATTCTATGGCTGTGCATTAGGGATCTGACTCTAGATGGAGAGGTTTCTTTGCAAATCAATACATATTATATCTTATGTATATAAAATGTTCCAAAAGAAGTAAGAGCAACGGCCAGAGAAAATGACGACTGTTTAAGACAGACAGGCGAGAGAAGCTGACCTCTCCTAGTGGTGAGGGGACAGGGCAGGGAGCATGTGTGGTTACCCGCAGTGAAAGCACGGAGACAGGCAGTGGAAGGGCCAGTGTCCATGCTCATGCTCAGACCAGCAGTGGTGCAGAGTGCAGGGAAAGCTGCACCTGCCGAGACAGTCTTCGATGGGGATTGCCGGGGCCCCCCTGCTCTCCTTTATTTGGAAAGGCAAAAGGGAAAACTAGAGATCCAGTGACAGACAGGACAGCTTCCTCCCTGTTTTCTGCTAGAACATGGCGTTCTCAGTCTTTGTCATAGGAAGAAATGGCACTGAAGAAAGTTACAGAAACAGGGCCAGGGCTTTAGCTCAGTGGTTCCAGCGCCTGCCTCGCAAGCGCAAGGTCCCAAGTTTGATCCCCAGTACAAAAAAAAAAAAGAAAAAGAAAGAAAGCTACAGAAACAATCATTTTCCAGAAATTCATAAACCCTATTGAAGCATCATAAATCATCCATAGGCACCCCAGCAAGTGGCTGGATGCAGGTCTGCCCAGGGAAAGCGAGGCTGACCGTGAGCTCCTTCTGTACCAGAAAGCAAGGTGGTTGGAACACGAATGGGGCCAGAAGAGAGCAGCCCAGAAGCAGATGGTGCGGCTTCCCACTGACCAGATGTGCTCCAGCCTGAGCATTAAAGGAATAATCATTATAACTGACTATGAAATAGCCAATAAAGAATACAGAAGTAGAGTTTTCTTAAAAAATCAACACAAACAAGGAAGATTTAAAGTTGCCACCACTGCAGGTGATTACTGAACCAACTGCTTATTGTGAAAATAAAGGAAAACTTTTTTTTTCCACCGTGCTGGGGATGGAACCTAGGACCTTGCACATGCCAGGCAAGGGCTCTGCCACCAAGCCCCATGGCCATCCCAAGGAAAGGCTTTTCATTAAGAGGTGAAACATTATGATGTCTACAACACATGGTTCAAAAAAGCGTGCCAATATGAAAGTAAATAAAAATATTAACTGCCAAATCCAGTGCTAAGTATATGGATGTTTACTGTACAACTCTTTCAACTGGTCTAATGTGTTTACAATTTTAAAAAATACAAAGCTAGAAAAAATATCTCCCTGGCCTTTCTAAAAAATAAAGTCACTTTATATAAAATGAGAAGCCAATCTTCTAATAGTTACTTTTCTTGTTTTCAATACTATAGACTCTTAAATTTTTATAATAGCAACAATTTAAAAGTGAAATTTTGATAGCATACTTTGTGTTTTTAAGTTTATCTTAGAGATAAATGTATGTGCTATACCAATTTCAAAATAAGAACTCATTTTTGCTGTTTATAAAATAAAACTTAGTCACTTAAGTACGCACAGGTCCTACCATGAGTGTGTGTGTGTGTGTGTGTGTGTGTGTGTGTGTCGGGGGGGGGATCAAACTCAAGGCCTTCACAGGGAGCTATGTTTCTACCTCTTTATTTTGAGACAGGGTCTTGCTAACTTGCTCAGTTGCCCAGACTGGGTTCAAACTTTCAATCTTCCGGCTTCTGCCTCCCAGAACGCTGGGATTACAGGTGTGCACCACCATACCTGTCTGTTCCTAGGTATTTTTATAACAGGATCTAGTATAGTACTTTCATTACACAGATAAATACATGTAGCCTCAAATATTTGGATTCAGTGTTACCCAATGTCACCCACTTATATGATCAAACAAAAGAGGTTCTAAGTGATTATTTAAAATCACTTATATTTCAAGTTAGTTTAGTAAGAAATATATACATACTTGAAATCTTCTGAGTAAGGGTAAATGTTACTACATGCTCTTCCATGGCATTCTCTAAATGTTGTTTTTCTTCTTGTAGTGCCATTCCAATTAAATGTAATACCTCAAATAAAATACGTTTTGGCTCCCAGGCTCCTAGGGCAGAGAAGCTGAGCCGATCCCAGCACCCGGAAGGAAGCTCCCCAACTGCTATCCCAAACTCCTAGGGCAGAGAAGCTGAGCCAGTCCCAGCACCTGGAAGGGAGCTCACCTGGAAGGGAGCTCCCACGCCACCATCCCAGGCTCCTAAGGCAGAAAAGGTGAGCCACGCGGGTGCCAGAAACCACCCCCCTCCCACCCCATGGAAATGAGAAGACACATAAACAAGCCTCAAAAACAGACTTCCAGATCACCTACAGCAACCCCAAAGGGAAACGAGATGAAAGAATCTGATATTCAACCACCTGGACTCTCTGAACTGGCAACGAAAGAGGATACGGGAAAAATGAAATCAGAAATAATTACTCAGATAACAGCAAAGATTTTGCTCATGGGGCAAGA